GAGAGAGAGAGAGAGAGAGAGAGAGAGAGAGAGAGAGAGAGAGAGAGAGAGAGAGAGAGAATGAAGTCCTTCTAGGGCGAAATCTGTCTACCTTTGTTGTAATAAGCTATGAAATAAAACAAAAAACATTACCCACCTATATGTTAGCAAAGCAAATTGAATAAATGCTCACAAATAAGACAATAAATGCAGCTACCTGGTATACTTTGCCTTCTTGAGACCAATGCAGTATCCAATCCGCCTGAGTCTTTGCTTCCTTTCGAATAAGGCCCATCATCTATAAAAGAAATAAAGAAAAAAAAAACCTGAAATTGTATGGATTATAAAAATAAAACATTATCTCTTTATTACCCCTAAAAGCTTTGTAAATGTGATGATGTGATATTTTCTATTATTATATTTGGTGCGTATAATAAGGAGAGCCATTTGGCATAGAGGTTAAGGCATCAGACTGGAAATTGGGAGACTATGAGTTCTAGGTCCACCTTAGGCACATGAACTTGGACCCGTCACTCTGTCTCTCTCAGCCCCAGAAAAGAAGCCACAAAAAGACACTTCTGAAGAATCTTGCCAAGAAAATGGCAAGGACTTGTCCAGGCAGTCTCTCAGAATATAATATAATTAAACAGAAGCAAATTAACCTCTTAACAGAGAGCTGTGGTTGGAAACAATGTCTTTAGGGTGATTTCCCCATATATTTTTTTGTCACTGCATGGAGTTAAAATAGGTGAAAGAACAAAATGCAGATAATGCCATCCTGAGCTAGACAATCACTTGTTTACAATTATTTGTAGGCTACTACTTGTGGCTCAAACGGCTTGCAATAACTTCAATAAAATACCCATTAAAACCATAACATATATGACTGTCTTCATCTTGCAAAACAGTTTTCTCTCAATCCCTTGTGTTCTACTGTCACAGCCAGAAGCGGATAACGATAAATATATATAGGAACAATTTAAAGCTGTGTGAGGACTATGGGAGAATTTCATATGGAAGATTCCTCTATGGAAAAGATGAATAAAAGGTAAAGATTCCCCTCGCACATATGTGCTAGTTGTTCCCAACTCTAGGAAGCGGTGATCATCTCCTTTTCAAAGCCGAAGAGCCAGCACTGTCCAAAGACATCTCTGTGGTCATGTGGCTGGCATAACTAAATGGCGAAGGCACACAGAACGCTGTTAACTTCCCCCCAAAGGTAGTCCCTATTTTTCTACTTGCATTTCTAC